GCTTGAGTCTCACAGAGTGAACGAGTCTTTTGAGCTGGTTGATCCAGCTTGTGTGCCACCTGGAATGGACATCTTGAGGTGTCAGTGGGTGTGGAAGTATAAACACATGGCTGATGGGAGTATTGAGAGGCCTAAGTCCAGGTTGGTGGCCATGGGGAACACTCAAACACGAGGCGTTCACTATGACCAGGTATATACCCCGATGGGTAAACCTACCACCCTGAGAGGTTCCCTTGGGATGGCAGCAACTTCGGGGTTTCACATCCATCACATGGATGTGACCACTGCCTATCTTCATGGGGTCTTGAAAGAGGAGCTGTACATGAGGCAGCCCCCTGGTTTTGATGATGGGTCCGGCAGAGTTTGCCGACTCAGGAAATCAATCTATGGGCTAAAGCAAGCTCCAAGGCAGTGGTACCTCAAGTTTGATGAGGCGCTGATGGATTTTGGGTTTGAGAGGTCGGAGTGTGACCCCGCCTTGTACCACTTGGTGAGGCGTGAGGGCAGGCTGTCCCTCTACCTCTATGTGGATGACATTCTGCTCATGTCTTCGAGCATGGTCTTGCTGGACGAGGTGAAGGGTCTCTTGTCTTCTCGTTTCCGCATGAAGGACTTGGGGGAGGCTAAGTACTATTTGGGGGTGCAGATTGAGCGTGATGAGAGTGGCATCTTGATTCATCAGGAGAGGTACATTCTCAACATGCTTGAGTCCTTTGGCCTTTCTGAGGCTAACCCCGTGCGTACCCCTCTCCCCACAGGGTTCGACGTGCATGCACATGCTGAGGAGCCCCTGCTGCGGGATGAGCTGGTCCAGCTCTATCAAAGCATTGTGGGGTCTCTCATGTATGCAAGCACGACCACACAGCCCCAGATTGCTTATGCAGTGTCACAGCTGTCCAAGGTGGTGTCTCGTCCCAAGGCATTTCACCTGCAGGCTGCTAAGAGAGTGCTAAGGTACCTGAAAGGTTGTGTCAAGTCAGGTATCTTCTACCCCGCACACAGCAAGCCTCAGGTTGAGTTGGTGGGCTTTAGGGATGCTGATTATGCTGGAGATTCAGCTAATCGCAAGAGTCACACCGGCTATGTCTATTGCCTTAATGGTGCAGCCATCTCTTGGCAGAGCAAGAGGCAGCCGGTGGTTGCATTGTCCACCACTGAGAGTGAGTACATCAGTCTATGTCAGTGCATTCAGGAGGGTGTGTGGCTGAAGCGATTGTTTGGGGAGTTTGGGCATGAGTTTGCTGGTGGTGTGCCTGTGTTTGTGGACAACCAGTCTGCCATTGCCCTTGCACAGAATGCATGCTTGCATGGCCGCACCAAGCACATGCAGGTTCGGTGGCATTTCATCAGGGAGATGGTGGCGTGCGGCGAGGTGATCCTCCGGTGGTGCCCCACCGACCGTCAGGCAGCGGATATACTCACCAAACCCCTCCCTTTTGAGCGGCATGGTGTGTGCATGTCCTTGATGGGGATGCAACCCCATGTTAGCATGGTGCTTGAGCAGGATGTGGGAGGACTGGTGCTTCTCTGCCTTGACGACCTCATGCTGTGGATGGCGCCCCTCCCTGGGCAAGGGGGAGTGCAGTGAAGGATTTTGCCCAGTGGTGTTCAGCCACCTCCAGCACGAGCAAGGGGGAGTGTTGATTGTGTAGGTGGTTGTGGTATTTTGCTCTAGCTGGTTGTGGTATTTTTCTCTTGTACGCTCTCCAGATTTGCTCGCTTTCCATCACGGCTCACACACACGGCACCCCCATACTCTCCACCCCCAAACCCTAACACAGGAGCGCGGGCAGCAGCGGGGGTGGGGCGTGCGGCACTGGGGCAGACGGTACGAGCCGCTCACGGGCCTGGCGTAGGCCGGACGAACCGCGCGTGGGCTGCCCGAGCCGCGCGCGGGCCTGGTGCAGCCCGCACGAGCCGCGCGCGGGCCTAACGCAGGTCGTGCGGGTCGCTATGGGCGACGGGGGGCGACGCGCGGGTCCCCGGGGGCGCTGCGACGGGCAACGGAGGGCGTCGCGCGGATCGACGGGGAAGAAAACCGCCGCGCGTCTCGGGGCGCACGGCGGGATGAAAAATACGCCGTGCACCTGAGCGCGCGACAAGCAGAACACGTCGATGGCGGAAGCATTAGGTGGCGGGCCCATGCACAGGATCTACCCAGGAGGGTCAACCTGCTCTGATAGCATGTCGAGAATACTAGGCAAGAATCAGAAACAGCAAAGAGGGTTTTCAATAGCAGGCAGTTGAGTACATATAGCAAACCCTAATTCGGGCTGTACTCGTTATAGAGTACCCCACCTGAGGTTAGACAAACATAACATTCTGACATACTCCAATGCAAGTCATCCATGGTTCAACAATATGACAAGGTGCCAAAACTTAGAAAAATATAGAGTAATCAGCTGAACCCCGCGACAACCATGCATCATGTGCTAATAGATATTGAAAAAAATGCCACTCACAATAACACCAACTAGGCGTAAATCATACCATAGTGTAGATGGCAGGGCTCTTGCTAGGATTCAGGCCCGTCTGAAAATATAAAAAACAAAATATTTTCGTATGACATTAAGACGAGGGGAAAAAAATATTCTGATTTTTCAAATGAATGCCAAACCCATGTCTGATTTTTCCGATGGAACATAAGGTGTTGTCTGATGTTTGAAAATTGAAGTATTGTATTGTTCTTCTTCTATCAGAGTGACACGACATGATCGATGGGAGGGAAGTTGGGCTGTGAGAGGGATGAGGAAGTTGGGCTGCGCTGGGATAGGGTGGTAGTACACTGGGCTGCGCTGGGTTAGAGGGACTTGGCGGTTGGGGTGCAGGGCTGCGCTGCGAGGTACAAGGGGATATTGGGGCTGGGGGGGGACTTCAGGAAAAAATGGGCTCGGATTGGGTGGCTGGGTAGTGAGAAGCGAGGGACTTGGTGTGTGGGGGTGTTGGTGGACTGGGGGGAGGGTGGGGGAAGGGGGAGGGTCTGGTTAGTGGGGGGGAGGGAGGGGTTTTGGACTGGGAATTCAGGCGGGGAGGGCTACTCTCGATACTTTTGGTGTCAGACGAAAATGTACACGCTATCTGATTATTCAGACAAAATATAACGCTGAGTCATATTTTTTCAAACGAAACAAAATTGCTGGTCTTATGGTTCAGACGAACTAGAATCGTTTGTCTAACAAATCAGTTGAAACAAAAAAAAAAAAGTAGGTCTGATTTTCAGACCATCAGACCGATTTGGTACGATAACGAGGACCCTGGTAGATGCTCCTATCCAGCTTGCTAAATCAGGCTACATGGTGTGGGGTATCATACGCATTCAAGAGTTTTCTGATTTGAGAGCATGCCAGAATCCATGCCACAAACCACTAGGATAAAAGAGCTTGTTTGTGTAGCGGGTGAGTGTGCCCATAGCCCCCAAGGCCAACGTGTCTGTAACCCTTCCCTATGATCAATCGGGGATCTCCAGAGGACCTCTGACAGAGCAGCCCTCCGCTCAACTCTGAATCTTCATAGCCAGTTTGGAGCCTTCATCAAGTCCGCTGTGGAAAAAGGCTCATGCGTTGTAAAACAAGCAAAAAATGTATGTATAGTACTATATATCATATACATCAAATATAAGCATACATGGGTTTTTAGAAATGTTTCTAAATCCACATTGAATTATTCTAATTGGCCTTTGTGTGTTTTGGTTACGTCTAACACTCTCGAACAAAAATGGGGATATAAAAGTTGTGGTTTGATTAGGAAATTGATTAGAGGACCAACCCATTAGTGTCATGTACATTGTAGAAGGTTCGCACCTGAAAAAGGCAATTAATGCAGCTTGCACGCGGCACAATCATGTTGCTACATTACATAGCTAGGCGAAGTGCCAAGCAGTCCCATTGGTCAGCGTGGCAAGATGCCTGGCCCAATGGCTAAAATTCCAAGTGCGTACCAATTTCTGGGAGGGGGTCTTGTGGACTCTTGCAGTTGCATTATAACTGAAGGAGAGATTCTCATTCTCTGCCCATTGGTTCATGGCTCGCCTCCCGTGCCATGGCATACCGGTACCTTTTCCAGCCTCACGTTGCATCCATCTGTTAAACATAGGTTATTGGCTTAGGAAGCACTCAGACTTAGGACTTGGAGGACAGCTAGGAGGATGGCGAGAGGAGTTGACAAAGGAGGTTCACTATAGAATGGAGCACAAGATATATCAGTAGGCAAGGAGAAAGAAACATGGTACACCACCTACAGCAAATGATTTACACTACAATCTACATTACATACAACAATAAAGAATATTATATATAAATGTAGATTAGCACACCCCTGTCAGAATATTATCTTATGTTCTAGCCTGTAGTGGGGTGCTCTATAGCGAGTACAACCCTTCTAGGGTTTGCTATTTGTATCCCCATTTCTGCTAGTTCAATCCTCTTTCTTCCTTCTAATTTTGTCAACCCCAACAGCTTGTAGTGAAGAACCTCGTGCACAACACCCCCTGAAAGGGTACGCCAAGGTGCAGCAAAAGGAGAGTGCAAGCAAGGAGGAGGAGGAGGAGAGAGAGAGAGAGAGAGAGAGAGAGAGAGAGAGAGAGAGAGAGAGAGAGAGAGAGAGAGAGAGAGAGAGAGATAGAGAGAGAGATAGAGAGAGAGAGAGAGAGAGATGGCTTGGGGTTAGTCCTTAGTCGTTTTTCAGCCTCTTAGTCCTAGTCCTTAGTCCTTGCCGTTTTCCAGCCCAGTTTCCTAGTATATAGTCCTTAGATGCGCCCTTTTTAAGCGCATTCTTCACTGGTGAGTTCAGTCCACTCTCCAAAACTGACGGCTTGCGCCGGCCGCCTTCGGCGGCACGTGAGGTGTGGCAAGGAAAGGGACGACAAGAATTATAACAAGTGTTACAACATGCATTGGTAGTAACCTACAGCAACAACAACACCCCCGGGCGTGCCTACACCGCCATGGGGAAGCCCAAGGCCAAGCCCGCCGCCAAGGGGGCCGGCAAGGGGAAAACACCGGCTACTCGGTGAGTATCCAGCACAGCCTCCCGTCCATCCAACGCAGGACGGATGCGGCTGCTGATACAAGGCCGAGGGGGGCTTGCTGGGCGGACTCTGCAAGCCGCACCATCGCCCCAGGCCCGGGCCCGAGCGTTGCACCAGGGGCGCCAGGGACAAGGCCGATCAGGGGGAGAAAATGCAGCATCTCTGTTGCCGCGGACACCGCTGCCGACTGCCCCGATGGTAACATCCCCCCGACCTCGGCGCCTTAGACGCGCCAAACACACGTGGAGCTGGTCCAGAACGTATGACAGCAGCGTCAAGCATGTCCCCACGTGCATTACGCGCTGCTTGACGTGGAGAGGCGTTGTTGCTACACGAGTGGGAGCACGAGGAGCTGGGGGGACAGGAGGAAATTGCAGCACCTGAGGAGTCGGCGGCTAATGCAGCTGAGGCTGAGGTAGCGGGAATGGGTTCGGTGGGGGCTGCTGAGGCTGCTGATTCTGAGGTGGTGCCACTGGCTAAGATGGAGGCAGTCGTTGTGGCTGGGTTGACGTCGACGGTGAGGGAGGCGACAACTGTGCCGGAGATGGTGGGAGAAGGGACTGCTGCTGTGACTGCTGCCGCCTCTGACGGCGGCTTAGCTTATGCGTCGCCGCTACCAGGGGAGCACGGCCGGGCTGGGGAGGAGTCATGGACTGCGTGGGGAGATTCGCCGTCACTGCTCGGGGTGGCGGAGATTGCGGGGGTCGTGGCTGAGGCAGTGAGGCGACCGGAGGGACCCTCGAGTGAAGAGGCTGCGCCGACCGCCACTGCGTCTGCCGGAACGACTGCTGTTGCCGCGGCCGCAAGCAAGCGGGGGCGCGCCTAGGGGGGGAGCAAAAGACTGGGGCCCGGGACTGGCGCCGTTGATTGTGACGCTCGCGAGAAGACAGGGAAAAAGCTCCGCGCCCAGCCAGCACCGAGGTGGCCTGGAGCAGGGCTGGGATCTGGCGCCCAGGGACCCCTCCTGGGCTGGCTGCGACAAGGGCTGCCACCACGAGAGCCAGTGCGTCCGTCGCCATCTTCCTCTCGACCGGTGATTGACGCTGAAGTGGATGAAGCTGAAGGACCCGCGGTGCCACATGCGGAGATGACAAGAGCGACGGGAGCAGCAGACACGGCGGCACCGGCACCACAAAACACGTGGCGTTCACCACGCCTAGGCGCGGTGACTTGGGGACCGCCGCGAGGAGGCCGAACGCCGTCGATGCCGGCCGGGCGCGGTGGAACCACGAGTAGCAAGAGACCACCGACGGGCAGAGAAAGAGGAGAGCGGGGGGGCGCAGGACGCGACGGGTGCGGAGGACGCGGAGCCTGCGGGGGACAGACGATCGTAGGCGAGGTCGAACTCCCACTAGGGCAGGGCCTTGGAGGGAGAGGCACGATAGGCCAGAATCTGAACCTGCTCCAGCGAATGAGGAGGCATCTGACTTTGACAACTTCGGGAATGACCCCGAGTTTATGGGCGGGAAGGAGGAGGAATCAGATGAAGTCTCACTGGAGGATGAAGAGGGAGAGGACAGGAACATATCCAATAGGCGACAAAGGGCCTCGGGTGGTAACCCATCAAACCCCCCTAGCAATGAAGGAGCGCCTGCCACCAAGGCGACGAATGGGCCCTTGCCTGCCACTGAGGCAACGAATGTGCCCTTGCCTTCCACCGAGGTGACGGATGTGCCCTCGCCGGCCGGCCTGGCAGACGTCGAGGCCATCTGGCGGACAGCGGGGGACTGGGACGTGTCCCAGATGCAGCGTGGAGACCAGCCCTTTTTAGTCCGCCGCGTACCCCCGCAAATCCTGGACAGCTATTGCCTGTGCCTGCTGGCAACACTCCTCCGTCTGAAGAAGTTTCCCGACTGTGCGGGTGCCTGGAAGGCTCTCCAATTTCTGCCGAGATTGACCTTACGACCACCTTCCAAACCAGTTTCTGGAAGCAGATGGGCTCGGATCGAGGCCCGGCTGCACCAATTCAAACTCGGCAAATTCGAGGAACTTTTCGAGGAAGCAAGCACCATCCCCGAAACGGATGCCCCGATAAGACACCAACCGGACGACGAGGGCCTCTATGCTAGGGCTGAAGGCCTTATGAAAAAAGGCAACATCTCCAAGGCAGTAACAGCCTTACTAACCAGTCCCCTGGCAGAACCAGCCCCCGCTACGCTCGAAGCACTGCTTGCGAAACACTCCCGGCCACGAACGACATTCCGTCGTGGGTAACGAGCACCACCTTGTCGGAGCTGTCAGCCCCGATTGACTCAGTTCGCGAAATCCTGGTGAGATGCCCGAATGGGGTAGGCGGAGGGCCTTCAGGAACCAGTTTCAAACACATTAGAGATCCCGCGCTGGCCAGCGAGGAGATCCCAATCCTGCTCACCCAGCTACTAAGGCGCCTCCTTAGCAACTTCCTGCCACAACCGATCCATGACCTGCTCCTCCCATCGCGCCTCATCGCCCTGGAGAAGCCAAACGGAGGGTTACGACCGATAGCGATTGGGGAGGCCCTGCTCCGCGTAGCGTCGAAGGCAACATTATACGCGCTCGGCCCCAAAATCCGAGAGTTCTTTCTCCCCGTACATTTTGGGGTAGCAGTACACGAGGGCGCGGAGTGTAATATACACTCGGTACGTGCTCTACTTCAGGACGACAACAACCGCATCGCTCTGCAGCTGGATGTAGAAAATGCCTTCAATAGCGTAGAACGGGTGGCGTTCTTTGGCGCGCTCCAGTGGTCTAACCTTAGCCCCCTACTCCCCTTGGTCTGCAACCTCTATGACGGACCATCGCGGCTCCTGGTTGATCCATGCCTGGGCACATACTACATCTAGAGCTCACGTGGGATACGCCAAGGGGACCCACTTGGCCCTTTATTATTTGCAGCCGCCATCCAGCCGGCACTACTGAGGTTAGCGGCAACACTTCCGAAGGTGGCGGTCGTCGCCTATGTCGACGATATCACAATAGTTGGCCCACAGGAGGCGGCCAGCCTCGCCTTTAGCACGATTGCCGCGACGCTGGCGACGTACGGTCTCCGCTGCAACGATGACAAGTCGTCGGCATGGGGGGGGGGACTCTGGGCCGCAACCTGGGGAGCTACCACACGGTTTGACGGACCTGGGAGGGATTCGAGTGCTTGGCAGTTCGGTTGGGGACTTCACCTTCTGCACCGAGCACGTCAGGTCCGCCCTCAGAAAAGCAGTCGCTCCACTCCCCCTCATCTTGCAGTTGCACCCGCAACACGCACTCCTCATGATTTCCTGCAGCATCTCCTGTGCGGAGATAACTGCAGCAACGGGAGCTAGGCTGCGGGCTAGGCACGTGTGCTCGTGTGATCTCTGCGTTCGTTAGTCCTTAGTCGTTTTCCTTGTGCACACACTACTTGCTAGTTCACGGGGAAAATTGGCAAGAGTTTCACTAGGAAAAGTTCAGAACAATTGGTACAATGAAGTTGGCATAGCAAGACTACATCAGAGAAAGCATTCAGGTCGGCCAACTACCAGCGCAGCTTGGTCGACCGCGTTCCAGCACGACTTGGTCGACCGCACTCCAGCAAGGCACGGTCGATGGCGTGCCAACGTTGCAGGACAGCAGTGCACCTGCTTCACAGGTGTGCGCAGACGATTGGTGCGTAGAGTCCTGTCACCTCTGATTCGCCACGACGACCTCGGGATACCACCACCGAGGTCGGTCTCGCCAACTTCGCCTGGGAGACTGTCGCACTCCCAGGTAACCTAGTCGACCGGGCAACCATGTCGACCAGCAGCTCTCGTACGCGCCCGTCAACCTCCCAAGTCGACGACCACCTCCACGTCGACCTCCTCCAGGTCGACGTCCCCTCTGGTCGACCAACTTTACGTCGACCAGTACTCCTGGTCGACCTGCTCCTCGTCGACCAGCATAGTCGTCGGCCGACCACCCACGTCGGCCACCCCAAGTTGACGTCACCAAGTTGACGTCCTCCGCAGGTCGACTCCCAAGTCGACCTCCCTGAAGTCGGCGCCACCCTAAAGTCGGCGCCCGTGCAGTGGTCCCCCGTGGAGGTCGACCTCCTCGTCGACCAGCTCATCCACTGCTGCAGGTCGGCTGCTCCCCTCGCACCCGACCACGAAGTCGGCTCCGCCCAAGCGAGGACGGGGCCAATACCCAACTCCCGTTGACACTCCCCTGCCGCGTTCACGCTTGGGCACCCAGCCCACACGGCAGTACAGCTCGGAGACTCGCTCGTCGACGTGCACCCAACACATAGCACGTCGTCCACCGCACCAGCTATGCAAAAGGGCATGGCACCTACTGCTGCACGTCGTTGTCGCCGTCGCCCACGTCGGCCAGGCGCACTTGACCGATTGCGACGGAGCACCGGTTGAAGGCCGGACAGTGCAGCGCCTTCATCAGGAAGTCGGCCGGCTGCTCAGCGGTCGGGATGTACTGCAGCGAGAACTTCCCGCGCCTCACCATGTGCTGCAGCCAGGCCTGTCGCCGTTCCATGTGCTTGAGGTTGCCTGTCAACCCCATGCCCTCGGCGACCGTGATGGCCGACTTGTTGTCCACACGCAGGACAGTCGGCTTCCCGGCATCCAGCTGCGGGAACTCTGCGAGGAGGAAGCGAAGGCGGCGTCCCTCCTTGCCAGCTTCAGTGGCCGCCACGTACTCCGACTCGGTCGACGACAGTGTCGCGCACTTGATGCGCTGGCTCGACCAGGAGACTGCAGCCCCTCCGTAGACGAACACATAGCCGCTCGTGCTCGTCCTGTCCTGCTTGTCACCGGCGTCATCGGCGTCTACGTAGCCGACCAGCTCCAGCGACTCAGGTCCACCGCCGAACTCCAGGGCGGTGTCACGTGTGTTGGCAAGGTAGGCGAGGCAGCGGTCGACCTCGCGCCAGTGCTGGTCACTCCTCACCGTGAGGCCGCTCCCCAGCTTGCTGCAGGCGAAGGCGACGTCCGGCCTCGTCGTCGTCGCTGCGAACTGCAGCGAGCCGACCTTCTGCCGGTACTCCTCCTCCTGCCGTTCCTGCGCCTCCTCGTCATCGAAGGTGAGCTCGGCGTAGGCACCGACCAAGACCGGTGTCTTCGGGGTGCGCCCGGTCTGTTCCTCGTCGAGGAAGCGCCTACGCAGCTTGTCGGCGTAGCCCTACTGGTGCAGCCACAGCTTCCCCGCAGACCTGTCGCGCACGATCTCCAGCCCAAGGTACTTCTGCACCGGCGAGATCTCGCGCAGCTCGAAGGCGGCTTCCAGCAGCTCCTTCAGCTCCTTCAGCAACGCGGCACTGCTGCTGGCGGCAAGCAGGTCGTCGACGTAGACCAGCACCCAGCAGGCTACTCCACCCTCGCCGACTTTGAAGTAAAGAGCCTCGTCGACTTGGCTCTTCTTCCACCCGGCGCCGACCAGCACATCGTTGAGCGCCAAGTACCACAACAGCGGTGACTGCTTCAGCCCGTACAGGCTCTTCAGCAGCTTACACACCCGGCCGGTTCCGTCGTTGAAGTAGTCCGGCTGAGACATGTACAGCACACGATCGAGCTTGCTCTGCAAGAAGGCGTTCTTCATGTCGAGCTGCATCAGGTTGAGGTTGAGGACAGCGACGATGCTGAGGAAGATCCTCAGCGTGACATAGCTGCTCACCGGCGCGAACGTCTCGTCGTAGACGGCGCCGTACACCTGTGTGAAGCCCTTCACGACCAGCCTCGCCTTCTCTCGCTCGACGGTGTCGTCGATGTGGTACTTCGTCGTCAACACCCACCGGTTCTTCATGACGTTCACCCCCGGCGGGCGTTCGACCAGCTCCCAAGTGCCCATGTGGATGAGGCTGCGAATCTCCTCCTCCATGGCGGCCTTCACCGCCGGGCCCTTCCAGCTCGCCAACGCCTCCTTCACCGTCATCGTCGAGATGTCCCAACGGTGCTCGGGGTCGACCAGCATGTCGGGGTCGAGCTCCGGAAACTCCTCATCCTCCTCGGCGTCGTCGTACAGCAGGTCGTCGTCATCGTCCACGTCATATACCGTGGTGAAGGCAGCGGGGACGAAGAAGTCAGGCGGCCTCCGAAGTCGGCCTGAACGCCGTAGTCCCTGCTGGACCTCCGCGGCGTCCCCTCCACCGTCACTATCGTCGCTGCCCTCGGCGTCCTGCTGCTCCTAAGCCGGCGTCCCAGCCGACTGCTCCACTGTGGTCGGCTTCCCAGCCGACTTCTCCCCTGTGGTCGGCTCCCCTGCCGACGTCCCGGTTGCCGACTGCTCCGTGATCGGCTTCACGTCAGCCTGCTCCCTTGTCGGCTGCTGCTCCTCGACCTGCTGCTCCCCTGTCGACTGCAGTCCCTCGTTGATTTGCCGCTCGTCACGTCGGCCGCCGGCGATGCACTTGGCCGGCGCCGAAGGCGGCGTCCCACGTCTCCCCTCATCGCCGGAGGCCGACACCGAGGTCAGCCCACGCAGGTCGACCACGAGGGGAGGGGCAGGGGTGTGGACGTCCTCGACGTCCTCAGCAGCAAGCTCACCGACCTCGGCAAGCAGCGGCAGCGTCGCCGACGAAGTGTCAGAGGGCAGGGTGGACGGCGAGCGGCCAGGCACCAGCCCATGCTCGGTCTTCCACTCGGCCAGCGACATCTGCTCGTAGAACACCACGTCCGACGTGGTGACCACTCGGTTGGTGTCGACGTCGAGGAGCTCCCAGCCCTTGCTCGACGCCGACACGCCAAGGTGCAGGCCCCACTTAGCCTTC